ACGTACGTACGTACGTACGTACGTACGTACATACACACATCATCAAAAAAATTGGCTAGCATGCTACTAATATGTTAAAACGTGGAAATATAATGAAAATTCCGATTTCACTTTTCGACCCAATTACAATAACTTCCTAATGGGAAGTTAAAAATATAAATTAGCAATCCTAACTTGTCTACAAAGAACAAAAAACGTGATCGAAAAGATGAAAGTTATCAATTTAGTTCAATATAACCGGAATTATAGGTCAATTATAGCTTTTATTTAAAATGTTCCCGGCGCCTTCACCAAAATTTTTCGTTAATTTTTTAATAACTGGTAACAGTGTCTGTGCATCTACATGAACGACCTTTTTTCGGCATTAAAACATTAGTTCACAATAAAAATTAACTATATACTCGTAATTAGTGACTAAATACTTCTTGAGTAGCTCCAATTAAAAATTTGAATGGGTTTTCAACGAAATTTAAAACCATCTTTAAAAATATTACTAATTGCTTATTTATTTCTGGCTTATATTTTGTAGTTTGTTCAAAAATAGCGTTGAGTTTCACGTACTACAGTTATTTGCGTGAGAAAAATCGTTTTCTAATTTTCTTTGTGCTCACCTTATTCGAGTTGTAATATTTGCTGTATGTTGGGTTGTATATATCGTACGTTACAAATTTTAGTTTAATTAAAGGGGAAAGAAAAATATAAATTAATATACCTAACTAAATAATATAGTTTGATAATAAAAATTCATCAATCTACTTCAATGAAACAGCAGTTACAGTTGGTAGAATTTTAGAGTTTGTTTTAAATTGTTCCTTTACCTTCAACAAAACTTTCTATAGAATTGTTATTATAAACATTTGTTGATAACGATTGTGTTCTTCATGAATGTCTTATTACGAGATTAACTGTCCAGAATGATCATCATTGAATGCCCAATTTAATCCTTCTTGCATGCGAATAAAATCGTACAAAAATTCTGAAGGTACATTGAGTAAAACTTAATCAGCAGAAGAATTAAGGAATACAAATAGTTTAATTTTTTTTGCATGCACAATTAATTACTAATTAATGAAAAGTTGACTATATCTGTGTCGGGAAAGTACAGTTCTTAGAGGCGAGCATTTCCCAAGTACTATACTTAACATTGCTTTTCCATTTATTTTGGATTAAAATAAACAATGTTCCTTTTGTTTCAGCATTCCAAACAATTACGTACAAACTACTGTCATAAGGATATTTTGGAGGACCCTTTGGACTTATAGAGAAATAAGGTAGGATTTTATTTAACATTTTTTCTTAATATTATTTATATTATCAATTAAAATAATAAGCAATTATTAAATATTAAAATAATATTAACAAAGANTTCCTTCTCAACTATCTCTGAAGTAAAATTGTACTGTATGTGATAGATAATTGTTTTTTGATTTATTTAAAAATTTTTTAGATTAGACAAGGTACTGGTAAACCTAAACATAGCGCTATTTCCTCAAGAACTTTATCAGAGGCATCATTCCAGTTTTATAAAAATTAGGGAAACAGTTGCAATACAATGAGCCATTTATATATGAACATAACATTCCTGATTCGTTAATGTCAACTTTGCCAAATATATAAAAGTTATTATATACGTTTATCATTCACTTATTAAGCATACCATATGAATTAAATCACTTAAGTAGCTAACAGTACGTACACATTTTTATTTTTCTCTCTGATACTGAGTTTATTTGCATTAAACTCACAGGTCAAAGGTGATACGAATTACAAACATAGAATAACTAAATAACGTTCATTATACAGTACTAAAAATGAAAAACTTATTTAATTTAATTCTGTTACTTTCATTACTTTGTGAAGTTTTGTGTTATCAGTGTGTGGACCTTAATAACAAACCTGTAGACTGGTAAGAATTGCCTGAAAATTTACACTTGTAATGGGAAATGATCGATCATTATAATTTGTAGGTTTTATGCTTATAAATTACCTCTTGAATCTAAACATGAAAATACGTTGATTGCTACCGGTGCTGCATACACGTATATGACGTCAAATAATTACCGCAGTGGGTGGATTTTGTCCCCAAAATCAATCAATGATACAGATTCGTTGGTAGGATTGACTTTAAAACCTGTGTTTGATTTAAAAAATGTAAGTTTTATTTATGCTATTATTATCAGTAAATAAGGATTAATAAATTGTTTGCGGAACGACGTTTTGCTGCATATATATTATGTTTCAAATTATTAATAGAATTATCAATTATTTGACAATTTTTGATTTACTGAAAATTAACATACTAATTGAAATTGTGCCATAAAGTGCTATAAAAATTAATGATACAGACACTGCATTGGTAGTAAATATGTCGGTTATTTTTCAATAAAAATGGCTTCAAAAATAAATTGCTTAAAAGAATGTGCACAATTGTTATTTAATTAGCCTTATAAAAATTATACCGAATTAAAATTTAATTGGATTTAAATCAATTCCACAAATTAAAAAAAAAATGGTCCAATTTTAATGTAGTGACAGTCAACAGTTTTTATTTTATTCTTAGAAATACCATCAAATTTTTATGCTAAAATAAATTGAAGTATAATTTTTATTGGTGCTGAATTAAAATTAACTAATAAAATTAATTGGCTCTACTAAAAATCTTGTTATTATAATAGTACATTTTAGGCATTTAAAATTATAACGTACAATTAAAATTACGATGTACATAATTTTAATTTTCTTTTCTTTAATTTTGGTATAATTTTAAACCTGTAAATATAATAGTAGCATTTTCTAACAAACAGTCATGTACTTATTTCATTATATCATTAAAAACTAAAATGTCGTGCCATAATATGTTTATCATCTTTTTCCTTATATTCAAATCATATTTAATCAAATTATTGACTGTTAGTTTCTATAAAATTAAAACTTCATAAACCTTTTAAGACAAATAATGGCTTATACATTCTATACAATGATGAACAACCTGAAGGAACGGTAAATTTTCGTAAGGGACATACAAAGGGGACCATTTTAGCTAATGAAAAGGGTGGCTTATGGCTTCTACATTCGGTGCCGAAATTCCCTTCAACAAATGCAGGGTCCTACTTTTATCCACACAACGGATACCAATATGGTCAAAGTTTTCTCTGCATTTCTTTTGATCTGATCAATTTAAACTTGATAGGTACTCTTCTACATGTTATTTTTAGGTCTCATTATTCTTTTATAAAATGTTTTATAAAAATTAGGGAAACAGTTGCAATACAATGAGCCATTTATATATGAACATAACATTCCTGATTCGTTAATGTCAACTTTGCCAAATATCGTGGATGTTATCAATGGACGAACCATGAATGGCTCTAGGCCATTTAATCTAGTCAATTTAAACTCCATAAATGGCACCAAATTTTGGTCTTTTGCTAAAGGAAAGCATTTTAACAAAGACTTGTATGAGGATTGGGTTGCTCCTGCATTCAACTCTAGTTTATTAGTAGAAACTTGGTTGAATGGAGCCGGTCGTCTACCCTCTGATTGCAAAAGAATGTTTCAGTAAGTTTTGCGATTTTTTAAAGTGTTTTTTAACTTTTAAAATTTATATTAAGTTTTGATGTGACAATTATCCTTGTTTACATTTTAGTGTGCAAAATATCGAGTCATTAACTATCAAAATAGCAAATTTATCATTTAGTTCTTCCAATGACCATTCAAAGTGGGCTGTAACTCCTTCTGATAATTCGCAATTTTGGACGTGCATAGGAGATATAAATAGAGCGGTAAGAATATTACAAATTGGCTTACTGTTTTAGGTGGTATTGATCAATTTTTATTATAGAAACCTCAAGAAAAGAGGGGGGGTGGAACTGTATGTTTTTCCAATAAAAACATTGCTGCAGCCTATCAGACGAGTATAACTACTTTAGAAAATTGCAACTAATATTTTTGTTAAATGATGTAGATACAATTGTGTTGGACATATTTATTTGTTACATATACATATCTACAGTCATTAGTATGTAGATTCTGATCTTAAATATTTATTAAATACAACAATTTAGCAAATAATTTTTTAATTCACTCTTTCTTGGGAAACCACTGTTCCTTTACGGAAGGTTGTGGACAACGATACTTCGCTATTTCTATTTCAGCATCGAAGAAACTAGATTGATGATAACAAAAGTATTCAGGATTTTTATATTCCCCATCTTTTTTAGCATTAGGTCCTACAGGTCCTTTAATCTCATTAATGACTGCACCACTAAGTCCTACCACTTTATTAAGATCGCCAATGTCTGACTGTGAAGGTGGGGGCCCCTTGTTAGTCTTTGAAGACTGTTTTGAAGGTGATTTGCTACTGCCTTGAGTCTTGCTGTATAAAATTTTACCAGCTGTGTATTGTCTTCCAACTGCAGCAAATTTACATTTAGAAGGAAAAGAAAGGATACTGTTTAAAATCATGTTTGGGAATCCAATCAATTACGTAAAATACAGTCTACAAAGTTGTTTTTATCTACTTTGACATTGCTGAAAGTGAGGTTATATCATAGATAAAGGTTATTTGGTAAGATTTATGGGTGAGGCATTCGATCATAGATTTTTCCATAGATTTAAGATTGATCCAAACTATACAATTGTAACTTGCCTATGGTTCTTAATGATTCTAACTTGTCTATGATTCTAACCAATAAAGTTATTGTGAAAGCCAAAAGTAAAAATTTCTTATTCAATCTCAAAATTATTTGTCGAAATTGTTGTATATTTTAAACCAATAGCTGTGTTCGTTTCACTTCAATATGGGAAAGAAGAATAAGCCTGTTTTCAATGGATATGCTTGTTTTATGAACGACTTTCAAAAAAAAAGCGGACAGAAATTTAACAGTAAAAAAGACTTAGCAGAAGCTGCGGCGTCCCACTGGGCAGTAAGTCTAAAGCATTGTTTATTTTTAAATCCTAGTAACCACTCGTTGTGTATTACATTTCAGAAACTAACCCAACAGCAGCAACAGGTATATAAAGATAAAGCCAAAGGTCTCAAAGGTGAAGCTGCAAGATACACTTCGCAGGGTGTTAATGTTGATATTATATTGGCAGAAGAAAATCGGAAAAAGCTAATTGAACAAGAAATGAATAACTACATTAATTCACTAATGATTTCATTAAGTGAAAGCAACGAATTTCCGTTTCAGATGTTTCATCTAATAAGCATAAATGAATTCTGTTTTTTTAATGGAAATAAGCGTTTCATTCCAGCTGAAATTGCTGTTATAAAGTTTAATTTACAAGATGGAGTTATAGCAGATAATGTTTTTCATTATATTATAAAGCCAGGTAGTACTAAAAGCAAATGTTGTTACTGTTATTAAAAGTGACACTACAAATATAATAATTGTAGGTAAGTTACCTCTTGGATATACCGCTGATGCTACAAAGATATCAAATGAAACTCATCAGTTGCCTGTTCCCTTGGGTATTGATAAGAGTGAAGACAACAGACATGAAGTTACAGAAGGACTTCTAAAATTTCTTAGGGTATATAGTGTAAATGATTTTAGGCTTTTTCTGTTTAAAGTGTTTATTTATTGTAGGCTGGTATTTCAACGGTTGAAAGGGATTTTCCTCCTCTTTTCTGTGAAGATAAGTATAGAGAAAAAGTGCAAAATGTTGTTAAGTATTTATTAATAGATCAAGGTATTAATTGAATAAATAGTTTTTGTATTTATGATTGTATATTTGTAATAATTTGCAGGCTATAGTGAAGATCTGATAAAAATTTACTCACTGGATTCTTTTTTTTATCAGCTGCGTAATACAACAGCTGATGGTGAAATTATTTGGCCAAGTATCACCTTAAGTACTCTAGAATTAGAACGTGATGTATATGATTATTGTCCAGGAATCGCATGTGATGTATGAAGAAAAAAGAATATAATATTACTTATACCAAATTTTCTTTTTCTTTTTTAGTTTCATGATAATTCAGATGTTCCAAACTTCTGTACA